GGCCCACGGGAGGGATGGGCTGCCGGCCGCACGGCCTCCTCCTGGAAGCTTTCGCAGGCTGATGGGTGATCTGACTTCCTTAGGGTTCCTTCCCTGATGGGCAGCTCTGAGATAAGGTGGCCTGAACCTAGGTTAGAGAGTCCTGAGGGTGGGTTCAAATCCCCGCCCCCCACTTCCTACTCCATCTCCCGGGGAGACTCTCATCTCCTAACCTCTGACACCTCTGTCTCCCCATCGGTAAGGTGGGCTTGTTCACACCTTCCATCCAGGGATGTTGTACAAGCACCGTGGCCCCAACTTCCTGAGGGCAGCCGGCACTTGTGCCTGCATTTACTTTGTGCCAGACACTGCTCTGGTGCTTTCCATCTACCAGCTTATTTAACCCTCCCACAGGGCGGTGGGCATGCCCCCTGCCCTCCCCGCTCTGGGCGAGGAATAAGGACTCGGTGAAATAAGTCATAGGTTATGACTGCTGTTTACATATGTGGAGACAGAGGCACGAAGAAATTAATGAGCCTGGGGTCACACATAGCAGAACCAGGATCCAACCCAGGAAGCTACACGGCTTCTCGCTGGTGAGGAGGTCTTGTGGGATGGGAGGGGGGTGCCAGGAATTACACACGACTTTGGGACCACTTGCAACAACTTTCCCAGCCCACCACCTGTGTTCTTCCAAAGCCACCTGTGGATGAAAACATCTGACAGCTCTTCTGACAAGGGGTTTTGCTAGGGCAAAGGGTTTCATTTAGCCTTCGAGGTGGATGAGCGTTCCTTGAGCACTTTTCTCCGAGCTAAGTGCTGTGGAGGCCCCTCGCCGTGGGCAGTCTGTGTGTGATGGAGGGATGACCCCATTCTTTCATTTGTTAAACGTTGAAGTACCTACTCAACGTTGCCCCTGGTCTCAAGGACTGTGTGGGACCATGGGAGGGAAAGGCTTGGACGCAGATCACAGGAAGGGATGGACAGTGGGAAAAGAGCAGGCAGGCTATATGCAGAGGCAGGGACTCTGGGAACCCACTGGAGCCCTGTGTCCTGGGTGGGGGCAGACTTTGCCAACCTCCCACCCCCATGGAAGTCTCTCTGGATCTGAGGTGGGAGGGCCAGCTGGAGTCAGGGTCCCACTTGTTCCGTAGGCGATGATGGGGTGATGAGGACAAAGTGGGGGAGAAGATCCCAAATAAAGTCCTCCACAGGAGCTCACTGAAAGACGCTCATGGCCACTGTGATGTTGGTGGGAGCTGAGGAGGCCGGCGCTCATCTAGGCAGAGTGGATAGGAGACAGACAGGGGCACCCACCACGGACATCTTCTGTTCAGATGATGGATGTAGTGGGTGAAACATAAGCAGACATGAATGATGCCTACAAATATTAAATACTAGAGGCCCAATGCACGAAATCCATGCAAGAGTAGACCTTCCTTCCCCTGGCTGCCAGCACTGGCTTCCCTCTGGCACCCGGGACCCGGGCTTCATCTAGAAGGTCATACGGAAGGACGTCTGGAAGGATGTCTGGTCTAATTAGCATATTATGCTTTTATTATTATAGATACTTTTTTTTTGGCAAGCACACACAAAAAGACGCACATCAAATACACTGGAGAAGTTACCTACAGTGGGGGGCAATGCAGTGGGACATAGTTGAAAAGGAACGAATGAATAAATAAAACCTAAGAGAGGTCTTGGGCAGACAAATGTCCTGAACTGAGAAATATGATTAACTTGTCCTTCAGGCCTACCACCTGTGGAGGCAGGAAAAATCTATAGGAGAAAGAGAAAGCCCAGCCTCTGGCCTGGGCCCTGTTTCTAACTTGCTGTTGACCTCATGAAAGCCCCTCCCCCTCTCTGGGTCTCGGTTTCCATCTCTTTCAGCTCTGAGTGTTTATGAGCTATTGTCAGTCATCTTGAGCTACCTGATAGAGAAACTGATAGTTTTATGGAGTGGTAGGGCTTGAAGTTTGAAGAATGGGGGACTCTGGAGGGTTCAAGAAAACGAGGGCGTTTTCCGGCAGGAGAAGCATTGAAAGCAAAACGTCAGGAAGATTTCAGCGTACGGCTGTAAACAGTCGGAGGGCTCGGTGTTCCGGGAGGGCCTTAGCCCAGCTCTCCCCTGCGCCTCCCTAGCCTGGCTGGCGGTGCCACCTGCAATCCAACAGCCAAGTCAGGACTTCCGGTCCTACCCACTTCTCTGTTGTGTTCCCCAGTTACCAAACCAATTCCTCCAAAGAACCCACCCCATTCCCATTATCATGCCACCCTAGTCCCAGGTTTGGGCCTGGACTCTGCTCTAGACCATCCTTCATCCACTCCCAAGTGTCCTTCCTCTACCTCAACACTGACCACATCACTTCCAGACATGTGACCCTTTGACCTTCCCTGGCCCCCTGTGACCTCATGGAGGTTCTCCATCCTTGTTCTGCTGCTGCACCTTTTGAATATAACACAGTCATCAGCAATATAGCTCAACACAGTGATTCTCATCCAGAGAAGGGGCCCGGCCACATCAGGATCCCAAAGTACCGGGAGAGGGGACAGTGGGGAGCCTGGCCTCTGGGACACAGCCTTTATCTCATCACCCAGAACCCCTCCACCCAGCACCTCCGTCTACTCCAGCTCCAGTTCCATCACTCCCTTCCCCTTTGAAGTTAAGATCCACACAATGTGTAGTTCCCTGAGTGTGAACACATGTACATTCAGTTTGGTGGCTGTGCACACATAGTTCCCTCTACACGGAAACCTTCAGCTCTTCCACCACTACCACTAGGCCAACCTGGTCAGCCTTGCAAATCCCACTCACCTGCAGAACCCAGTTCAGACATCATTCCTCAGACATCAAGCCTGCTCTCCTTCCTCCTTACCCAGCCAGACAGTTAGTCACCCTCTGTGTGTGCTACCCTGCACCATGAATACATCTGAACCTTCTCACTTCTCCCATGCTGCTGTAATTGCGTGCTGGCCTGTGTCCCTGATAGACCCCTGATGGGCTGTGACTCCTGTGGTGTGGACTGTATGGTGACTTTATCTTTGCACCACCTGCACCAGCACAGTGCCTACTCCACAGGGGGCCATGGTGCAAGTTCATTCAATTGGGTTTAATTTCTATTTGGCAGGTAACAGGTAATGGCTCGTCCCTTTTGCTCCCCACAGAAAACGAGTGATTGCTTTCCTTTGCTCATTTTTGGAAGCCCTGCCTACCACACAGCTGCACTGGACATCCCAGTTCCTTGATGGACGAAGAAAGCCAACAGATCCAGCCCGAAGACCAGAGCTGCTGGGCCACCCTGCCCGATGTGTGCCTGCGTCGTGTTTTCTGGTGGCTGGGAGACAGGGACAGGTCCAGGGCGGCCCTTGTCTGCAGAAAATGGAACCAGATGATGTATTCGGCTGACCTCTGGCGATACAGGACCATCACGTTCAGTGGGAGACCTTCCAGGGTACACGCCTCGGAATTCGAGTCAGCTCTTTGGTATGTTAAGAAATTTGGTCGTTACCTGGAGCACCTGGAGATCAAATTCCTGAATCCTTACAACGCTGTCTTGACCAAGAAGTTC